CTGAGCTATATCCCCAGCCCTATTTGCTATATTTTTAAAGATGAAAATATTTTGTTTTCTTATTAGTTTGCCTAAGGAGGCTCCCTGGCATGGAGTTTGGAGTTAAACCCACACACTTTCAAAAACCATGTGTTGAACAACTGTGTACCAAGTTGGACTCCTCCAGCACTGAAAGGCTATATAACTTAACTAAATGACTTGAGCATCTTAAGCCTCGACTTTCTCACCTGTAAAACTAGAATATTCATCATACATACCCTGTAGATAGTGGTGAGAATTATATAAAGTGGAAAATGATTCACTAATGGCTACTTCTCCTATTATAAACTAATTAAACTTACATCATATTTTAAACAGACTTAGAAGGAGAAAGCTTAAGAAGAGAATTCAGTCTTTGGTGGAGAAAAAGAGCCTCTTTGTTCTTAATAGGTAGGGAAAAATGTTCCTAAATTCTTAATATCAGAGCTTCAGGCACAGAGATCATTGAAAAAAGTTGCCATTCCTCTCTTCCTCAATCTCTCAAACAATTTTCACTAAGTTTTCAAAAATGTAGGTTTGACTTCACCAGTATCTTGTTAAAAACCTTCCAGTGGTCTGCCCATATCTTATATAAACAGCTCGATTTTGCATTTTTAAATCTAATTGCTTGCTATTCTACATTATAATGACCACACACACATACACACAATGTAGCAGTTAGGTTATATATGATATATCGAACACACACTTGCTTATTTTGGCCTACAAGCTTGGATTGTTACTCTTTCCAACTGTACATTTTTCATTGCATGTGTCAAAATTCTATACATCCTTTATCTCACTTTTGCTCCTGAAGCTTAGTGAATTAAAGAATTTGAAATTCAGAATGATTTTTCTCAGGACTTTCCTGGTATTTCCAGTTTTCTTGTGTTCATGGAGTTAAAAAGAAGTAAAGTGTCATTCTTATTCTCATTCTTTATAACCAATATATCTTTTTTCTTTTTAGTAGGTTTAAGATCTCTGTAGTATCAATAAAGATGTTGAAGCCCAGCCGCTTAGTATTTTAGCTAACAGTTTAACTTTGGAGGCAGATGAACAGGTATGTTTTTATTCAAACACTTACTAATGTAAGTTAGACTGTGTAGACTTTATGAAATTCAGTTGCCTAATCTGTAAAGCAGAGACAATCTATTAAAGCAAAGACAACCTACAGAATGGAGAAAGTTTTGTCAGCTATGCCTTGGGCAGATGACGAACATATAGATTATATAAAGAACTCAAAATAACTAGACCCTCAAAATAAAAGACTCAATAAAAAAGGCAACTGAAATGAACAAATGCTTGTCAGAAGAAGTACAAAAGGTCAATGAGCACATAAAAAAATGTTTAATATTTTTGGACATTAGAGAAATACAAATCCAAATAGCACTGAGATTATCTCACTCCAAAAAGAATGGGCATCAGCAAGAACTCAAAAACAAATGCTGGCTAGGTTGTGGGGAAAGGGAACCCTTCTACCTTGTTGTGAGGTGGGGAGTGTAAACGAGTACAACCACTGTGGAAATCAGCATGAGATTCCTCAAAACACTAAAACTAGCAATTCCATTTGATTCATCTATGCCTCTTCTGGGTATCTTCCCAAGAGTGAAAGACATCGTATTACAGTGACTCATGCACACCTATGTTTCAGTAGCACAGCTCCCAATAGCTAAATCTTCAAAGTAGCCTATATCTCTATCACCAGATTGAATGCATAAAGAAAATGTGGTATTTACACACAATGCATCATTACTCTGCCCTATGGAAGGATGAACTTGAATCATTTGTAGGAAAACAGAAGCACCTTGGGAGCATAATGTTAAATGCAATAAATCAGACATGCAAACCTAAATATCACATGGTCTCTCTTATATGAGAAATCCAAAGAATAAATCACCTAAACATCAAAATAAAAGCTAGATGACAGGAAACAGAGAGATGGACTACTTGGAGATGGGGGAGGGAAGAAGGAGAAGGGAAGGATAGTAATGATGTATACATACCAATTCCCCACAGTGAGTATATTTCTTGTGCACCACAAACATGTACTAATAAAAAAGGGGAGCATAAAAAAATAAAGTAAGCTTTATACTCCTATTGTGACCATTGAGATAATGTGTGGAGAGGTATCACAAAACTTCCTGCCTTTCGATAAGTGCTCACTAAATGACAGTTTTAAGCTTTTATACGTGTGTGAGCCCCCCCCCGCCCCCAACCCATTCTGGATATTGAACCCAGGGCATACTCACTGAGTTACCTACCCAGCCTTTTTCCTCCTATTTTTAATTTTGGAGCAAGGACTCCCTAAATCACTAGCTTACCCAGGATGGGCTCAAAGTTGCAGTCCGCCTAACTCAGCCTAGCCAAGTGCTAGGATTCAGCTCTTATTTAGGTATTTTTGTTGTTATTTTCTCCATCAGAAGGAAGTCATTTGAAATTGAAGACTTTATTCTGTATTTCTGATACCCTTATAATTCAGATGTTACAACATTTGAATCCATCTTGCCTTTTGAATTTTTACATTTTCACTTTTGGCGCCAAAATTCTGAGAGAATTACTCAGCCGTACACTCAGTTTTTGCAATTTCCTATGATCCAATCTATTGGGTTCTTTATTTTAATGCTAATATAAATTATAATATAACCTAATATGAAACATGTTATAGTATAACACTTTTCCCTCTAAAACTCTAATTTTCTAACTTTGGCAGTAAGGTAGGTGCCTCCAAGCAAATTGTTTTAGCATGCATCTTATTTACTTAGAATTTATAGTCCACCAAAGGCAAGAATTTGAAGACACAGAAGACAATATATTTAGTCTGCCATCCCTATTTAAATGCCTAAACATTGAGTATCACATAAAATGCCAAGATGCCCCCAATAGTAGAATTAGACTTCTCCTGCTTTAAATTCAGTTCTCTGTATTTACTTTCAAAGTTTATTAATTTTAATCTTTGAGCTCTCAATGTCTTAGTCAAGTTTATCCCTCTTTGCATTTGTCATGATGCCACATACAGGGAACACTTATCAGAATCTGTTGAACTGAATTGCTCATATAAGACATATCCAGTTCCTAATAGTTTAGATTTTATGTGATGATTAGTAAAAACAGCTGCATACTTCACATTTACACTATGTATACTTCACATTTATATTTCAATTTAGCTGTGACTTTAATAAAAATATTTATCATCTAGTTTGATGGTTTAAAGCATAGTGAACAATCAAAAATATAGCATTTCCCTTTAGAAAATGCAGTACTCATATGTAAGCTATCATGTCATAAATATTTCAACACAATTTAAAAAAATAATATTTATGGATAATGTGCTTTGCAATACTTGTACTATTAAGTACTATATATATGCACTGTACCATTTAATTTTTCCAATAACTTTACAATAAAAGCTACTGATATTATTTACAGAAGTGGGAGTGAGGCCTTGAAAGTTAGGTTATTCCTTGCTATGGTTTGGATTTGGAATGCTACCAGGAGCCCATGTGTTAGAGCAGTGGGCTGGGACTGGTTTTGTGAACCAGGGATTGGTTTCGTGAGTCCTTTTCCTTGTATGGATATGGGGTGGTTTCAGGATGATGCAAATGAGTGCTCCTATGAGAAGCCAACACCCCTGATGAAGTGACAGGAGCTGGGGCTCAGGTGGTAGTGCATGACGCAGAGCTACTGTAAATGCACTGAAGCATTGCTCCCCAGTCTGCTGCTCACTTCCTTCTGTACAGCCCAGGTCCTGATGGTACTGGTCCATGGCCTGGGGGTATGGCTCACCTGTGCTAAAGACTTACAGCCCACCTTGGCACTACTAAGAAATAATGGAAATTCTAAGAGGTCTGCCACAGTGGGGGGCTTCTACTCACAGGGTGTGTGCCTTTGAAGGAGACAGTCAGACTCAGGCCTCCCTCTTTCACTCTTTCATGTACAGCCATGAAGGGAGAAGTTTGCTCTAACATGCATTTCCATTGTGGCGTACTGCCTGGCCACAGGCCCAGCAAAAAGGCTAACCATGAGCCAAAACAAAGTTTCTTTCTTTATAAATTCATTAATTCAGGTGTTTGTTACAGTAACAGAAAGCTGGCCAGCATACTGTCAAATGTCACAAAGCTATACTTGCAATAACAGATTTCAAACTCAGTTCTCTCTTCCTCCAGAAGCTTGTCCATGACTATTATGTAATGTGTTTGTTTTTGAATCAGTTCTTATCTCAGTCACCTTCTTGTATCCAGTACCATTTTAGGAGGAGAGGCTTATTTTGGCTTGTGCTTTCAGCCCGTGGTCAGCTGGGTCCAAGGCAGCAAGGGCAAGGTGGAGGGTCTGGCTTGGAAAGCTGCTCATGTTTCATAGAGCTCAGAAAACGAGGTGAGAAAGGAGGAGCCAGGAAGGGAGATTCACCCTTCCAAGTTATACCCTCCTGATCTACGTCCTCCAAAACGAGCCACCTCTGAATATTGCACAGAGCACTGAATGTTTCAGTGGATGAATCTGCTGAGTCCAACTCCCCCACAATCCAACCACCTTCCCAAAGCCCCACCTCTCAAAACAAAAGGCTTCTGAGGGACATTCTAGATCTGCACTCTAACAATTCTTAAACACACAAAATAAAGAAATAATAACCTAATTTTTAGAGATGGTAAAGATCAACGAGTTATAAAATTACTAAACTAGAAAATCACTAGGAAGATAAAAATAATATAAGGAAAATAAAAAAATCCTGCCTCAAAAGACCATAGAGTCTAAGTAGAGCAGACAAATGTGACAAATGCTATTGTAGAAAAGGAGAGTGGACAGGGCGCCTAACAGTGAGTTGAAGGTAGGTTCAAAGCTCTGAGTTTCCGTGCAAGCACATTCTCTTCCTTTCCATGTTTAGACGGCCACCTGAAGATTCCATTTCCTGAGCTTCCTTGTAACTATATCGGCCTTGTAAGTGAACTTTCACTAGTGAAAATTATACCAGCTTTCTACTTGCAACATTCATTTCATCTTCTTAAACACAGTGTTCCATACCTCATACCTCCCTTTTCCTCTAGCCTGAGAGGACAAGGTGAGCACCTTTGGCAGTCAGACGTTGAGAAGAGCAGGGCCACCACCCCCATGGCCTTGGATTCTAGGTGATGCCATGGAACAGAGCCTGTCCTACCTGCTGTGGACTGGCACATGAGGGAGAAAAGTATCTATGTTTCAAAGCATTGCATTTTAAATATCTTTGATTTTAAGTAGTAGCTTAAGTGTTTAATAACACATAGGGTATCTGGGGAAAGCTTCGCAAAAATGAGTTTATAGGAAATATAAGGGAAAGAAGGAAAGAAACCAGAGGGGAAAAAGGAACATGTAACATATACAAAAAAGGTAACATTTGAGTATACTATTTCTAAAACAATTTATACTTGATAAAAGTGCAACGGTTTTACACTCATAAAAATGTGAATTTTAAAAAGTCAATCTAAGAATTAAGCCTTTTATCCTTTGCTCAGTAAAACACTTTATTACTAAATAACTTTCCTCTCCCAAATTATTCCAGTGAACATCTTTTACTAGTTTCACATTTCTGTATACATACCATACAAAGCTCAAATAAAATGATCCCAAGAGACCAAACATCTGATTTTGGGCCAGAAGGCAATGGCTTTTCACTTGGTGCATGATCAGTGGTTTTGAAAATTCCTTGTGCAATTACCTCAGGTGCCAAGTATGATGGATACCTATAATGATACAAGAATAACGAGTAATTACTATGAGCTACAACGGGTAACAAAGCAGCATTGCATTTTTACTATCGGTGTCATGAACCTAGGTGAAAGTCCTATGAATCAAATTAACAACTGCTACTAGGCAGACCCATATACCAACCATTCAGATGTAGGTCTTTACATCCAGGCATTGAGAGTAAGTACACAGGAATACCAAATCATTGGAAAACTGTAATAGCTCTGCACCATTAGCTGCTTCCCTGTTCTCCTTGGAGTTTTCAATACATCACCTTTTCTTGCAGTCCTCGTTTCCAATTGTTTTTCCTTCCTCCTTAGAACTTATCTTCTCTCAATATTGAATTGTTATTTTATCATTTTACTTTTCAAATTAGTATTATTGAGTAGCAAGAATGTCAAAGCTAATATATGTGTGTATAATATATATATATTGTGTATATACTGTATACAGATATAGATATACACACATACACATATTTACTCAACGTCTGTACCCACATCACCCTAGTAAACTTGTTTACGTACCTCTCTGCCCCACATAGAATACTAAACAAACTGCTCCATACCATAGTTTTTCCTTTAAAGTATACTTTAGAGATCATTCCTTTAAAGTAGAGTTTCCCTCATTCTTTTTGAAATACTGCCAGTAATTTAATTGTATTAATGCACTTTGATAAAGGACATTTAAAAAGTTTTCTTTTGCTATTACAAACAATGCTGAAAGAAATATATTATAAATATCCTGTTTCCCACAAATATATGTGTAGATGGCAGAATGAATTCATAGAAGTGGCGAGACAAGGTATAAGGAATAGGCATTTTAAATTCTGATGTCATATCAAGTTGTCCCTTGGAGAGGTGACATCAATCTATATTTCACAAGCAATACATGGTGTGCTTATTTCTTCACACCCCCAGCAAATATGTACTTTTAAAAAATTGTGTTAGTACTGAATAAATACAAAAATATGCATAAGGAATAAGGAATACCCATGTACACCAAGAATGAGTTTTAAGAACATAAAATTATCACTTGCAATCCTGCTGTGTCTGATTTTTTCTTTGATTGCATTTCCATCTGCACCCCTTAGAAAAAAAGGCCTGTGGAAAGAATGATAAGTGTGTTCAAAGGGTGGAGGGTATTTCAGGGAGGGTGGATTAAAGGTGATATGTCTATTATTGCAATAAATTTATAAAATTTAAATATAATAATTTTGATCATCTCATAAATTGTTTAGTCAAGCATATTTCTGAACATATTATGATAATTAGGGTAATTATTATTTCAAATTTTCAATTAACAGTTGTTTGAAGAGTCATTTAAACAGTTGCATGTAATTATACACCATTAATTTTACTTGTTTTGTGAATACATCTATATACATTTGAATATTAACAGGATTTAAATTGTTTCCCCTATTTGATGTTATAAACAATGTCTTACAGAATACTTCACATGGGTATCTCTACAAATGTTTCTCAAGAGTAAGAACCTAGGATTGAATTCACCAGCGACGGGATATATATATATATATTTTCAACTTTATTAAATCATGCAAAGTAAGTTTTGAAAGAAGTTCTATCAATCTATACACCCACCAATAGTGTATGAGAGTTTCTATTGGTTATTCAACAACACTTGATATTTGACCAAATTTGTAATACTTGGCAATATAAGGAGTGTGATTTATACGTCACTGCAGTTTCACTTTGTATTTCTTTGCAAATTAATGAGACTGAGGCATGTATTTATTAGGCGTTTAGGATTCCTATTGTATGAGGTACCTGTTCAAGCCTTCTGTTCATTTCTCTAGTAGGTTGTTATGCTGGAGCCCTCAAACACCATCCTGACACTCTGTTTAGAGATTCTTAGGACTCGTAGAACTCCACATGTAAGCATCTTCTCAACTAAGACTTCTTACAGTGACCAGAAGAGAAAAAGACAGAGGAAGTCTTGACGAACCCATGTGAAGGCTTTCTTTTAGTCTCTCCCTTCTGTCAGAGATTACAAAGAGCACACTCTTCCCCCAGCAACCAAAACCCAGAAATGCATATGTGATGTTTCTGGCCAGGGCAGTCTACTAAAATCTCATTTGTCAAGGTTTTTACTTGGGACTGATCACAGAAGCACTCAATGGTTGCCGTATCAAACATTCAGGACCCCTAGAAGGAAAGTAACTATTCTTCTTATAAATCACATTGTGCAAAGAGGCACTGTAAGCCACTCTTACCATTTAGGAGATTTGGAAAATACTTCTGAAATCCAAGTTCCCAGAGATTAGCCAAGGGCAAACTTAGTTTCTAATGCTAGCAGTCTCAGGCCTTCTATGTTAACAAACCTTTTTCTTCAGTTAATCCTTTTCTTATGGTTTTGAAGATTCTTTACATTCTAAATAATTATATATATTATATATTACATTCTAAATAATTATAATTATATATAAAGAATTATAATTCTTTATAATTCTAAATTAGAAAGAATGAATTGCTTTTTCAGCAATTATGATTAGAAATTCATTTTACCAATTTATAGATTATTTTGTCACCATGGTACCTGTTTACAAGTGATAGGTTCTTAATCTTTCAAACTAATTGCTTTCCTTTTACCTAGTGATTTTTTATTTTGTCAAAACGATTTCCTGTGTTAGTTTCTCACAGTTTGATGGTACAGCCTTTCATGTTTAACTTCCTTGATGATCTTGGTTTGATTTTTCATATGAAGTGAGATAAAGGTGTAACTTCATCCTTCATACATAGATAATTGAGCTCTGTTCCATTTGTAAAATCTCTTTTTCCCCAACTTCTCTGCAATGTTAGCTCTGACACAAATAAAACCTCCCCATATGTGTATGTTTGCTTCTTGGTTCACTTTTCATTTCCTTTGAACCACGTCCCTAATATTATTTTATTTATTTAAGCATATAATTTTATGTAAATAATTACTGATAACTGCTAAGACAAGACTCCCCCCCCACACTTGCCTTTTGATATTTTTTTCAAGATTGTCTAAGCTCATTTTAGATGTTTGTTCTCTGTATACATTTTAGAACTATATTGCCATGTTTTTGTTCACAGAGAAATTTTACTGAAAATAGATCAAATATAGAAACAGGCTGAAGAGAACTAGTTCTTTTCCAGTAGTGACTCTGATTTTAGAATACAACATCTTTTTTTCTATGAAATGTGTCAAAAAGATACATTTTTTTGCATGAAGTAATTAAACATGCTGATTAGGTTTTAAGGTCCTCACTTTGCCTGTTTTCTATCCTAGACTATATATGATATCTTATTACATATATTTATATTTTATACACTATTATTCCATGTAGAAAAAACTTAAACTACCTAGATTAAAACAAAATTCCTAGAAGGCACTCACATATCTCATTCATTTTTATAAATGCACATGGCATGTGTGTTATCTGTGTGTGTATGGTCTTTGAAAAGAACATTTCCTGTCAAAATGCTAGTACTGCCTTAAAAACAACAATTTAAAAAGTAGACAGTAAATAAGTTTACTATCAGAAATTAGTAAATTTGTATCCTACTGTCTTAAAATGAAATGACAAGAAACAGCTTCAGAAGACAAATGAGAAATGTATGGAATTCTGCTTTACTTCTTATGTATGTATATGCCCTTCATTTATTGTCAAATTTAATCATAGGCACCAATATCTGGGTTATTCAATTTAATTAGATTCAATTGTGCCCTCCTGAAACAACTGTCTCTAAAAGATTCACCATCACTACCCTAAGATGCTCCTACTACTCTTTTAAGTTTATGTGTGAAATCTCCAGAAATAGATCATATCTAATAGAAAAACACTAGATGTGATATTATAAGACTATGTCTTAATTTCATAATATGTGATTTTGCTTTCTTCATATCTAATATAGGAATAATAATGCCAACCACACAAAACTGCTCTAAATATTAGTGAATTCATAAGGATGTTTTATAAAAAAGGAACCTGTGATACAAATGGAATACTGTCTTTTTATCATCATTACCATCATATACCTAGAAGGCCAACTATTCTTTTATTTCTGATTTCTAGCACTTCTAACCTAAAAGGACAGTATAGGTCATAAAAAGTTAAGCAAAACTATAAGTAAACTGCTATATCAAAACCTAACAGAGCTTGCTCCAAAAACTCCAATTTTCCTTTTAATTAAAGGCAGAAGTTAATAAAAACGAGCCCTAGAACTGTCCTTCAGTGCAGGTTGTCTTCTTTCAACACTATTCTCTTCCTCCACAGAGCACAGATTCCGACACTCTAAGACAGCAAGCGGAACTCTGCTGGGAGTGGGAGCACGGAGGTAAATGGTGACTACTGTCCTCTGCTTGCTGTTCTAAAAAGGTGTTAAACCAGTGGCCAAGCAAGACGGGGCCCAGTTTCTAATGCTTTATAGTATTTTGAAACAGATGGTAACACTTTACTTACTGTTCTATAATACTTGTCTTTTGAATCAACTGCAAGCTTCTTCTGGTATAAATATTTTCTTTCCCGCCTCAGCTGTTTGATCACTACTCTTCCTGGCTAATATTTCACATTTTGCTCTTCGATAATTTCTGGTAAGATCTTCTGAGTCTAAGGCTTCTCAGTAAGTCAGACAAAATGCTAACTTGGACCAATTCTATCTAAGCATTTCAAATTCAAATGCAGTTCTTCAAAAATGCTGAAATCGTTTAAGAAAAATTATCTTCATTGTACTCATCATTAAAATTTAAAGCACCTTGAAGTAATTTTTGTTTGTGTTATATTTTTTGAGTCTACCCCTTTTTGTTTGTTTGTTTGTTTGTTGAGACAGGAGCTTGCCATATAGCTCAGGCTGGCCTTGAACTCATTATGTAGCCCAGGCTGGCTTCGAACTCATGGCAATCCGCCTGCCTCAGCCTCCCAAATGCTGGCACTACAGTCATGCACCACCATGCCCAGCTGGAGTTTACTCTTACACAAATTGATTTAAACAAAATGCAGAAGCAGTAGCAATCACATTTACTACAGCTCCTTGAAAGTCAAATCAAAAAGCAAGTATGACATGTCAAAGTTAGAACTTGACTAAGGACTTACTTTAACTCAAAAGGGCTTTTTAAAAAATAAATTATTGGTGATCTTTACAAATATTATTTTAGCACTAATGAAAAAATGGTTTGTTTCTTATGCCAAAACCTTTTGATGTGTAAAAACTACAGGATTATGAATTTATATATGGTAGTAAGTTGGGAATCAAAATAGGAAGCCCACTAACCAAAGAAATTCTTCAGGACAAGAAGACAGTTATCCTTGTGTATCCAACAGACAGAAGAGAAGGCTTTTGACAAATGTATCATTACTGAATAAAATCTAATATTACCCATGCCTTCACTAATGAAAATTTTAGATATGAATCTATAATCTAAGTTAGAATAATGAAAGGTAAGTTTACAGGTGAGGTTTTTAAAAAAAAATCTAAAGCAATTATTAAGCTGTGTTCTGCTTCAGAGACACTTTATGAATGCATTGTCACAATTCTCAGTTACAGGGTGTCTGAAATTGTTTTAGAAAACTCCAACAGCAAAATACAAATGAATATTACTAAAAACCACCAGACTACAATTGTAAAGATGTGATTAAGGTATCCAGGTTGGATAATAATACTGCATCATTTTAATATCCTCATATTGAACACTGTCCTAGCGTTATGAAAGAAAAGTTATTTTAAGGTCATATAAAGTAAAGGACCATATTTAGGGATTAAAAAGTCCCTGGATGTGCTAATTCCTCTTAAATGATTCAAAAAAATTATAATACACATATATAAGGCAGAGGGTAAAAGAGACATAGCGGAAATATGTTAGTATTGGGGGAATCTGAAAGGAAATACAGGAATTCTTTGTTCTATTTGTTAACTTCTATGTATCTAAAACAATCACAATTTATATATTCTAAAAGGAAAATAATTATGTTGCAAAACTGTTTAAAAGTAACCACACACTAAATATAATTCAGAAGTTCCTATCAAAAGCATCCACTTCAGCAAAGCATGGAAAGGGCTTCCACTCCTTCTTGGAGGACACTACAGATCAGAAATTCCGCATCAGCTCTTGAAACACATGTCGACACATGGGATCTGTCTTAGTTACTTTGCTCTCATTGCTGAGAAAAAATACCTGACACCTCAGACTAAGGAAGGAAAGGTTTATTTAGCTCACAGTTAGTGGAGGTTTTAGTCCAAATCAGCTGGTTCCAACGCAGGGTGGCACGGCAGAGGGTAACTGTTTCGGTGGTAGAAGATGCCCAAAAGCAACAACAGCAAAAGCGGGGTGCAAGCTTCTTTTCTATCCCTTACATTGTATGTAGGCTACCTGCCCTAGGGTGGGTATAGCATTCATACTACTAATCCCAGCAATAGATAATGAACCAGTTGCAAACTCTAGATTCAGCCATATCTGAAAAGCCTGTCCCCCATGACCACTTAAGGTCTCAGGGGAACATCCAGACACAAACCATAACAAGATCTGTCCCGTTTTATCTCACCTCTATAGTGATTCAACTCAAATTTTAATATATAGTCACATTATGGGAATGAGGAGTCAACATTACGCTGAAAATAATGCAAGAATGATGTGTTTTTGTCTCTTGGTGTACATGCTATCATTAAGAATCTGGTTGGTCTTCTTGCCCTAAACTCACTTTCGTTCTGAGTGAATCACAATTAGGAAGTGGTAGTCAATCATCTGTTATCCTTTTTGCCAGTTCAGTGAAAGAACAACAGCAGAGCTCTTTGGAACACTGGGAAAAACTCTCATTTGTGTTTTCATAAGTGTATAAAAAAATAAAATTATTAATAAGGAAAAGCTGCTTTCATGTCAAAATCACTACCAAAATACTAACAAATTAAATATGTTATCAAAGATCATGTATTTTAAGACAGAACTAAAATAGAAGAAAACATATCTTACCCGATTGGGAAATCAACATCATCACCATAAGCTGTCATGTGATAAAGTCCAAATTTAGCCAATTTAATATGCCCCTACAATAATAAAGGGGAAAAAATCACCATGAGATATTTTAATATAACAAGGAAAATTATATTTTAAAAGACACCCCCTTATATAAGACTATTTTATAAAAATTATA